GGGGGTTGGGGCCCGCCCCCCGGGGGGCCGCCCCCCGCGGGGGTGGGGTTGGTGTTAAACACACCCCGGGGTCGCCCCCCCCCCCCCCCCCCCCCCCCGAGCCCGGAGCTGTCCGGCCGGTGGCCCCCACCGTGCGTTTCCTCGTGCTGCAGGTCGCTGGGCAGAGTCTTCTTCACTGTTAATGTCACCACGATTTTCATATTTTTGAGCCCCAGAGCTACTTGCTTGGGACGATAGTTTAGAAAGCCTGCCTTATCAGAGTGCGGCACTCGTGTCCAGCATCTTTATGGCCCCGTACTTGACGACTGATACCCCGTACTTACTTTTATTTCTGGCTTGGAGTGTGACTTACAAGTTAAGGTTGCACAATGACTATCGCTCGTCAGAGAGCTGTCAAAGTGACTGCTGTGTCGACTGCTTCTCAAGACCTGTTGAGAAAATGCTCTTCCGTATCTGAATTGCATTGCCTTTTTAAGAAGTGATTTTCCCACTAGCACGTGAAGGATTAACCTATGTAAGTGTGGGGGAAAGCTCAATATCTTAAACTTTCTCCAGGGCTCCTAGAAAAATGGTATTGACAAAGAATAAATGGTGTGACCCAGTACTGAGTGCTTATTATGTGTTTAGAGTGATCCTGAATACCAAATACAGTTGATGAAACATATATTTATTGAGGATTTACTATGTGCCAAATACTGTGTTGGTTACTTTAGATGTACTATGTCGTTTTTAGTCCCCTACCATTCTGTGAGGGGTATGAGATACTACATTTGACAGATTAGGAAACCGAGGCACAGAGTGGTTAAGTCATTTGCTCAAGATCAGACAACCAGCAGGGGTCAGACTTGGATTTCAGCCTAGACAGTCTGACTTCAGAGATGTGCTGCTTCTTTGCCTTTACGCTTTAGTAAGCTTTATAATCTTGAAAGAGAAAAATAATATATTCAGAGCAACTGGAGAACAATCGAGTACCCACTATACCTGCTGTCTTTAGATAGAGTGGAAGCTGAAAGAATTTTCTCTCCTGTGATAGCCTCACCCAGTTAATAAACATTTTTGGAATACCTGCTGTTGGTTAACTGGTCTGCTGTCCCTTCCCTTTCCAATCCACTCTCCCTTTTGAAAACAGGGTTAACCTTAAAACTAACATAACTAGTTTAAAGCCTCCGGTGACTCCCCGTTACCCCTCACTGTAACCTAAGGGATTTAGGCTGTTTGTCATTCAAGGGCCTTTGCAATATGCTCTCTGATTCTCATTTCCAGTTTGGTGGCATTTGAAATCAACTCTAACTCCTAATGCTGGCAAAGCACCATGCATTTTTATATTCACAGCTCTCCTTTATTGCTCAGGCTCTTCACTGTTTGCATATCTTCCTTATTCCTCATATGATTTCTAAGTCAAGCCATCCTCTTTGACGTTTTCTAGGTCTCCCACCCCATCTGGAGCAGAATTAAATGCCGTTGTCCTTTGTGTTCTCACACTTTGTTCCTCTCTTTCCTACTTGCCCAGCCTATTACTGTGTATCTGAAACTTGTATCTGTCTCCTGCCTATATTGAGAAGGTTGTTTTGTCATTTTCATCTCTGTTTAAAAGCCAAGGACACCAAAATGGAATAATCCATGTAACTCTTTGCAGGCTTTCTAGAGACATTGAGATTTGTAGAGGGAATAGAGTTGGCATATATGGAGGATAGATATTTCGAGTGAGATAAAGTCTAGAAATAGGCATGAGGTGCAGGAAAGCCTGGCATATTGTCTTGATCTAATTGAAGGGTGGCATCGGGGGAATAGAGGCAAATAAGGTTGTGGTGTGGAAAATGAGACACAAAGGTAGACGTCGAATAGTATGGGTAGCAGAGAGGTTAGCTGAGGTTCTTTTTATCCATTTAACTTATTTTGTTTTTCTCTTTCAGCAGAACTTTGAAATTCATCAATTTTTTGTAATACTTTTGAAAACAACAAAGAGATAAGAAGTATTTACATAACGGTAAAAAAGAACTTGCCTAGGGACACCTGGATGGCTCAGTCGGTTAAGTGTCCAATGACTTCGGCTCAGGTCATGATCTCACAGTGTGTGAGTTCCAGCCCCGTGTCAGCCTCTGAGCTCACAGCTCAGAGCCTGAAGCCTGCTTCAGATTCTGTGTCTCCCTCTCTCTCCGCCCCTCCCCTGCTCACACTCTGTCCCTCTCTCTCTCTCTCACAAATAAATAAACGTTAAAAAAAAAATAATAAAAAAAAAAACTTGCCTAATTCTCTGAGCTTAGCACGACCTTCTGTTTTTTTTCTTAGCTTTCATGTGAGTATCTAATTTCCTTCAGAATTTCATTCAAATCTCCATTTTCAGGGATGCCTTCCCTAGCTATCTTCATTCAAATAGCACATGTCCCCATTATGCTATTATTCCTTTTGCATGCCTGATTTTTCTCATTGCACTTATTGCCGTATAACTGTATAGCGTATTTTACTAATTCGGCTTGTTGTTATTGTCCATTATCTCTCCCCCCTCCCCATTACAGTGTAAGCTCCAAAATGCATCTTATAGAGCATTGTGGTTATAGTATCTGCTCTATTATATAGTTTATTTTCACGTAATATTCTACTAGATATTTCTGTGTGGTTTTCATAAATATATTCTTTCATGGTTCCTTCAGAGTGTATAATGGCTTAAATCATTCTCCTAATGACAATTTGCTTTTGTTTCTGTTAAGTCAGTAGCTTCAGATGAGTTCCCAGGAGTAGAATTACACCTTTAAAGGATGTGAGGATTTTTATGGTACTTGTTCATAATAGATACTTGACCAGAGAAGTGGATGTATTCTCTCTTTCTCTCTCTCTCTCTGGTTTTGTTTTGTTTTGTTTTGTTTTCCTTTTCAGGACTTTTGAGCCCAGGCATGTTAAGTGCCTTTTCCTTGGTCAAATGAGAGACATGAGATAAATATTTTAAGCTCTGTCCTTGAAGAAGTGTAACCTGGGGCATTTATATATTGCAATAAAAGACAGTGAAATAGGTGCTCAGCAGAGGTGACAGGTCAGACAGGTAGTGGGAATCAGAGAAAGCTTTGTGGTGGAGATCATAGCATTTCAACTGAGCTTTGAAAGATCAGTGGGATTTCATAGGCATGGATGAGGAAACCGTGAATTAGAGTACACAGATGTGACATTCCTAGACATGTTATTGAAGCAATACCAAGTGGGCCTGAAGTGTGTGTGTGTGTGTGTGTGTGTGTGTGGGGGGGGGGGGAGAGGAGGAATGAAACTGGATAGGGAGCCTGGATCATTGCACAGGGCCTTAAACACCTTGCTAACATATTTAGGTTTTAACCTGTAAATAGCACAATAAGGTGTTGGTTAAAGGCTGTGCTTCTCTCCTTTTTAGCCAGGTAGCCTCAGATAAGTTACTTAACCTCTCTGCCCCTGAATTTTCTTATCTGTAAATTGGAACAACACAACTACTTTGTGAGAGTATTACAAGGAGTAAAAAGATCATGGATATGATCAGCGGGGTGTTCGACACAGAAAGAGAAACTATTTAAGATAGTTTCAGAGTATAAATAATGTGAGTTATTAGAGTATCAAACCCACAGTTCAGGCATATCCATTTCCGCAAATGTTAAGTAACAGACATATATTTTATCCCATACAATGGATCTACCACAACTTGGTGATCCATTCATCTGTTGATGGACATTTCGGTTCTTCCCAGTTTTTGGCTGTGACGCTACCGTGAGCATTCATGCACAAGTCTTTGAACATACGCTTTCATTTTTCATGGGTGGATACCTGTGGGTGGAATGACCAGGTCATATGGGACTGCCAAACTTTTCGGGAGTGATTGTACCATTTTACATCCTGATGGGCAATGAATGAGAGTTCCACCTTCTGTACATCCTCACCAACACTTGATAGGGTCAGTCATTGTAATTTTAGACATTCTAATGGGTGTATTGTGTTATCGCAATGTGATTTTATTTTGCATTTCCCTAGTGACTAATGACATGGAACATCTTTTCATGCATTTACTTACCAATTGTATATCTTTTTTGGTAATAGTGTCTGTTCAAATCTTACGCCTGTTTTTAAAAATTTTTTTTAAATGTTTATTTATTTTTGAGAGAGAGCAGAGGAGGGGCAGAGTGAGAGAGGGAGACACAGAATCCGAAGCAGGCTCCAGGCTCTGAGCTGTCAGCACAGAGCCTAACGCGGAGCTTGAACTCACAAAAACTCACAAACCGCGAGATCTTGACCTGAGCCAGAGTTGGACGCTTAACTGACTGAGCCACCCAAGCGCCCCTTATACCTATTTTTTTAATGATGTTGTTTGATTTTCCATTACTGAATTCCAAGATTTTTTTTTAATATAGTATGGATAGAAGTCTTTTCTCCAATATATGTTTCAAATACTTTCTCCTAGTTGTGGCTTGGTTTTTCATTCTCCTCACAGTGTCTCTCAAAGAGTGGAAGGTCTTAATCTTGACAGTGTCTGGTTTATCTGTGTTTTTTTTTTTTTCTTTTGTGAACCTTTCAGCTTAATTCCATTGGCATGAGTATCTACGTGCAGTAAGTTGACACACGTGTTGGCTGGGAAATAAAAGTTTCATTTTAGTTTAGGAAAGGAAGTTTAGTGGTGTCAATGAACAATGTATCAAAGCCCAGGGGCGCAAGTCTCCAAATGGCTACTTTATAGGAGGTGTCAAGAAGAAATGATAAAATTAGAATATCATCACTTCCCCATAACTGCTGAACTAATGGATCTGGGCAATGATCAGCAATGACTGCTAACATTACAGACAAGAGGGACAGCCACGAATTATGTGCTCTTTAGGGAAGGGCACAGCATAACTTAGAAATTAGCCTCCAGTGTGAATCTGTCTGATCAAGCCCCTGGAACTGTCAACAGGGAATACAGGGGACAGAAGAACGTAATAAATGGCACGTGTGTGTGTGACTAGCAAAACCCAGATGTAGGATGACTCTGCAGAATAAACCACTCGGTGTCCTCAACAGACAAGTTTCACAAGAAAGAGAGGGAGAAATGAGTGGATAGAGGAAGGGAGAGGAAGCCTATAGATTAAATAAATCATGAAAGACAAAGCAACTAATTACGAACCTTATTTCAATCATGATTTTTTAAAGTTGAGAGACAATTGAGGAAATTTGTGTCCTGACTCTACATTTTGTGATCTAAGATGTTATCATTAAAATTTTTCACATGGGATGATGGTATTATGGTAATGTTTATTGAAAGCAATCCTTTTATTATGAATCAAACTATAGAATCTATTAGAGTTCCTTCAAAATAATGAGGGAGGGGGATGGTGAGGAGAGAAGTGAATAGAGGTTTGGATAATACAGGATTGTCCGTAAGATAACGATGGAAGCTGGACAGTGGGCACACGGGGGTTCATTATACCATTTTCTGTATTGTTGTATATATTTGAAGTTGTTCATAATTAAAATTTTGAAAGAAGTATTGAAATAAGAAAAGAAGATGCAGGTTTAGGTAACCAAGTTCCTTACGGAGCAGGTTGTCTCCAAGAAATCTCAGTAGAAAACGAAGCACCAGAAGCAGAAGAACTCCTTTGATAAGATTTTTCAGGGTCATGGTAGCATACTGGCATGGTGAGAAGGCCGTGTGTTGAGTGAGTTATGGCACACAGCGTTGTTTTGTTTTCTCCACTTACTAACTTAATGGTTTCTTGAGGCAAGGCCTATGTCTTATTTATTTCTAATTTCCCAGCATATAGCACTCTCCCTGGCTTAGCAACAAGTGCTGAATGTGAAGATGAATGGATAAAGAAATGAATGAAGCAATCTCCTACATATAGAGCACATGTTTGTATATTTCACAAAATGAGTATTTTTCTCAAGGACTCAGCATATCTATCTGGGTTCATATTTGGGTAATCAGTAGGTCTAGCATATTTTTTAAAAACAGAACTTTCCGGAAAAGAATTCCCAGATGCAGAGGCTCTAATCGCTTTTGAATTTTTTTTTTTCTTTGAATCGCAATTACTAAACCAGTGAATATAGGAAGTCCACAGTTAGTTAAATGTAGGGCCCTTATGGGAGACTTTGATTATCACTCCCTTGTGATGGTGGGTTTAGAAAGTGAGCACTGATTAGGTCGGATTAGCTCTTGGCCATATTGACTGAAAAATAGATGAGAGGTGGTCCTTTCTAACCCCACCCAGAGTATTAATTTTTTTTTTTTTTAATTTCAAACAAGTTAGTTATTCGTGTTCTAATACCACACTAGGTGGTACAATACTGCCACCTATGGAACAACAGTAGAATTTGTTACCAAGTTCTTACGCAGGGCTTTTTATATCATGCTATTTAACATTGTAGAGAACTTGCCATCTAAACGAATCCTTGGATGAATGCTTTGGTACGTTAGTAATTACCTCTCAGAATGATCTTTTATAAAAATCTAATTTGGATTTTCCTAAAAAAAAAAAAAGAGGACAGTGGATGGAAAATGTGAATTTAAATATTTTACTAAGCTGTTTGTTTTCTTATTGTTAGTATATAGGGACTTAAAATTGGAGATAATGAAATCATAACATTTTAAACCTGGAAGGCACCTAAAACATCACCCAGATTAGCCCAGCACCGAATTCAACATTGGTTCACTATGGGATGAAGCCATCAGTTGAATATAGGAAAGCTGGGGTATTGTGGAGACAGAATAGCATGGGGGATTAGGAGACCTCAGGGGTTCTATGTCTAACTAGACCCCTGACCTTAATACTTAGGGTAAGTCACTTGACATCTCTGCCTGGTGACTGTCTCATCTACAACAGTGGCCTTCCAACCTTTTTGATAGTACACTACTATCAGTGAAAATATTTGAGCATAATTCTCCTTATAACTTTTGTTAGGTTTGTTTGTTATTTAAATAAATAAGTTATTTATTTTAAGTTTATTTATTTATTTGAGAGAGGCAGAGACAGCGTGAGCAGGGGAGGGGCAGAGAGAGAAGGAAAGAGAGAATCCCAAGCAGGCTCCATGCTGCCAGCACAGAGCCCAATGTGGGGCTCAAACTCACAAACCATGAGATTACGACCTGAGCCGAAACCAAGAGTAGGACACTCAACCAACTGAGCCACCCAGGCCATCCCTCTTCATATACATTTTAAAATTTACTTGTAACTTAAATATATGAAATATTGTGATTAGTATCCCAAGACACAGTATCTACCTAGAGCCAGACCAGTATAGCATCATGGTTCAAGAGCATAGACTCTGAGCTCAGCGATGGGTTTACATCCCAGCTGCCTGGCTCTGTGACCTTTTCTGCCTATTTCCTCAGCATTAAAATAGGTTAATAGCAGTCCCTACCTCACAAGGCTTTTGTGAGGATGAAATATTAGTATGTTAAACATGCATTTAGAATATTGTCTAGAACGTGAAAGCATTCTGAAAGTTTACCATTATCATCACTGTTAGCATTAACAGTTCCCCATTTTGAAGGTCTTGCTGATAGTTCCAGACTTTACCTGACTTCTTGTCATAGAAACACCTCTGCTTTCGCCTGGTGTGTGCTGAGGAGGAATATGAGTGCCCGGAGTGGAAGTGCCCGCCGCCATCTTCTTCTGTTGACCTTGTTGCCCATGTTCATCATATTCAACCAGTAGTTTCTTTGCGGGAACCTTTAAACCGTTTGTCCATTTTATGAGTGTTCTTAAATTAAAAAGTTAAAACCATATCAAAATGTTGTCATTCACAAACCCATTTAACTAGACACTTTGGAGACCACTGAATTAGAAGCCTGGGGTTTTTAAATACTCATTTCCATGGGTGTGTTAGTAAAGATTTTAAAAAGTTATAGATGGTGCAACTTTTTCAAACCTAAACGTGCTCTTGTAATTGTGAGGGGAACTGGAAAAAAAATTAACTCTCATGAGTGTCTCTAGCAGATTGGGCATAGGGTAAGAATGCTGGTCTCCTCAGGTGTAGCTTGTGTTTGAAGTACCCTTGATTCACAGCACAGAACCTCTGTTTCATGTACAAATGCAAGTTGAAAAGGGAAGGCATATGTATTTTGTCCTTTTTGTAAAGCAAATTCTTTCAAGGTAGGCCCATAATATGGCCTTCTGTATGTATGTCTTGTGTGGCCCAACAGTTGTTTTTAATGGGTGGCTCAATCAGTTAAGTGTCCGACTTCAGCTCAGGTTATGATTTCACAGTTCGTGAGTTCGAGCCCCGCATCAGGCTCTGTGCTGACAGCTCGGAGCCTGGAGCCTGCTTCGGATTCTGTGCCTCTCTGTCTGTGTCTCTGCTCTGCCCCTCACCCCCACCCGCTCACAATCTGTCTCTCTCAAAAATAAATAAGAATGTTAAAAACATAATTATTATGAAAGATTTTTACTTATACTTACATATAAGTATATACTGTATATTGTGTAAGTATGTGCTTATACTCACAGCTTTTTATCTTGAGACATATTTCTATAATTATGAAATGCTTGGCAATAACCTCACTTGGTACATAAAGCCAATTTCTTCAGTGCGTCAGTTTATCTGCTGAAACCAAACACGAACTGGATATTGTTTGACATTTGAGTCTTGTTGGTCTCCAGTATGTTGTGTACATCCCCTTGAAGAGCCCATATGAAAACAATATCATTTCTTCCTGTGGGTTTTGTTAAAAAGAATAATGAACTGAGGACATAATAAAACATATATATCGTTACTCTAAATTACACCATTTCCTTGTAGGAAGCTCAGTGGTATTCATTTTGTTAGAACTTTATAAAATACTTTTATCTCTTCTAGGTGGTTGGTTCTAGCTATTGCCATGGTACGTTTTTATATGGAAAAAGGAACACACAAAGGTTTATATAAAAGTATTCAGAAGACGCTTAAATTTTTCCAGACATTTGCCTTGCTTGAGGTAAGTTTCCTATGATGCTGTTTTTCTATTGTTGTAGTATTTATTTGAAAAATCGTTTGTTGAGCAAAGCCAGTCTTATTTTGCTGATGACATACCACCTACAGATTTGTAGAAAACCAGTGTTCACAGGGATTTATTTTATGTTGCATGCTATTGACTTGTGGTTTTTTTTTTATTTGCTTACAGATAGTCCACTGTTTAATTGGTGAGTTTCTGATTTAATTTTTATTGTTGGTATAAATTGCCTCCAGGGCAGCAATTGACTTGTTTTTGTTTTTGTTTTTTAATGTTTATTTTTGGGAGAGGGAGAGTGAGAGCCGGGGAGGGGCAGAGAGAGAGGGGGACAGAGGATCCCAAGCCGGCTCTCTGTTATCAGCGCAGGGCCCCTTGTGGGGCTCAAAGTCACAAACTGCAAGATCGTGACCTGGGCCGAATTCAGATGCTTAACCAACTGAGCCACCCAGGCACCCCTGACTTGTTTTTCTCTTTAAGGAATTGTACCTACTTCTGTGATTGTGGCTGGGGTCCAAGTGAGTTCAAGAATCTTTATGGTGTGGCTCATTACTCACAGTATAAAACCGGTAAGTCATGCTAACGTGTTCTCTTCAGGAGTCTGTAGAAAAGCTTTTTATTAATAGGAGTCTAACATATTAACATTGCTGTATTTCAGGAAACAGAACCACTAGACAGAAAAGGGCTGGGTTTGGATTTAAGTGTGATTGTCCATTAACTTAGTGCATTAGTAGAATGACCTTGTAACACAAGCAAAACTAAATATTTATGTCCACAGTCTACTCTCTGATGTTTCTCAGCTTTTAAAATTAATATTCATATTCCGTCAAATAACGAACTGAAAATTCTATTTCCTATTGATGCGTATTGTCTTTGATCCTGTATTGAAGTCATCAGTGTCAACAGTTTATTGTTTCTCATTCACCATGGGGTGGTGTAGCAACAGGCATAAAAAAGCAAATGCAGTTCTGTAGATCTGAGCAAATGGGGAAGGCAAAATGAAAGTTGGAAGGGCTGAGGAACTTAGGGGAAATTAGCATATTATTTACTGAGGCATGACAGGAGACAGACCTAAATCTAATTAATGGCTTAAACGCTTTTAGACAAACAAACACCATGCTCACTACGTCAAGACACTGGGCCTTATAAACCCATGACAGAAACATTTCCCAGATGGACCCTTCTGACCTTCTGACAGCCGCCAGCGTCTCCTGTCTACTTGAGGACAGATCTCTGGCCTCCTTTCCATTCCTGAGATGCCTTTCTTGTCCCTAGTCTGCTTGAAATGATACCGTAACTCCCTTCCCTTGCCTGCTAAACTTCCTGGCCCCCGTGCGCATGGGGACAGATCACTGCCCTTCTGCCCTCTCACCACTCTGCACGTTAGCCCTTCCGACCGGTGTCTTTCACACACCTTACTCAGTCCACCTGGGCCCTTGCCAGTGCCCGCCATGCACTTAGCAATGACTGCCTGCCGTATGGAGAGCCAGACCTTTTATCCAGATTGCCATGCAGTTTAAAAGCAGGAGTCCAACATTAACAAAATAAAAGAGAGACTATTCCAGACAGTGAGCGAATGTAAGAGCTGGGCCGGGACTACAAAGAATCTGAAGACCAAGGAGAAAGAAGGACAAGATGGGATGGCCAACGTTACTGTAGAGAAGTTAAAGAATCTAACAGGTTGCTCGCCCCCAAGAGAAAAAAGACCCATCTGCTTTCTTTTATCCTCCAAAGGATCTCTGCCTGAATATTACTATTTAATTGTCTCCAACAATAGTTTCCCACTGGCACCTTTCCACCACTCTTTAATTAACTTAGCCAACATTTATTGAGTGCCTTGTATGCACTTGACACTGTGCTAATGTCCGGATTTACAAATATGGACGGGGCGGTCCCAGCTGTCATGCATCCTGGCTGTTGGGAAGTGGGGGTGTGGTCATACAGATGTGGAATGATTCGAGAAATACCGACTACACATCTGTTCTGTGCCTGGGACTGTGCTGGGGACCTGGCTGTTCATAATAAAAGTACAGTTCCTGCCTTGTGGAGCCTGTAGCTGGGAGAGATGGTAGACAAGTAGATGTGCAAATACAGCTGACCTTGAACAACATGCGATTTAACTGCATGTGTTCACTCATACGCAGATTTTTTTTTTTTTTGGACAAATATAGTAAAGTACTGTCAGTGTGTTTTCTCTTAAGTTTTTCTTAATAGGGTCTTCTTTTCTCTAGCTCACTTTCTTGTCAGAATACTGACAATATCAATATAATTGATATCAATATAATCAATATAATTGTCAGAATACTGACAATATCAATATAATACATATGATATACAAATGTGTTCATCAACTGTTTGTATGTTATCAGTAAGGCTTCTGGTCACCAGTAAGCTTTTAGTAGCTAAGCTTTGGGGGAGTCAAAAGTTATACACACACAGGCTTCTTGACTACACAGGGGCGTTGGTGCCCCTAACCCCCACGTTGTGCAGGGGTCAGCTGTAATGGTTTCATTACAGGGTCAGGAAGGCTTCCCTGAGGAAGGAGTGTATAAATAGCACAGTGAGGGATACGCAAGGGTTAGGCAGACAGACTTTAAAACCAATTGGCAAGTGTTATGATACAGATCTGAGCAAGGAAGGTAGACAAATACCTGCTTGGGGTGAAAGGAAGGGTTTGGGAAAAGTTTTCCAGAGGGCGTGATGTAGCTGGATCTTAAAGGATGACACGGTTTTCTATGGGAGCCAATAAGTGAGTAAGTAGCATTCTCATGGAGGGATGTGTTAAGATGTAAACGTTCAGAACATGTTCTGGAAATAATACAAAATTGGTATCACGAGAGAGAGAGAGAGAGAGAGAGAGAGGTAGAGGTAGTAGTAGAGTGTTGAGAGATTGCAGGTTAAGTTGGAGAGACTTCTGAGCTCAGATTGTAAAAAACACCTTGATCACCATGCACAGGGGGTAGGATTTTATCCCTTTCTCCTGTTAAGCAATGGGGAGCCCAAGAAGCCTGTAAGTCACAGACGAGCTACTTCCAAATGTGTTTTTGTTTGTTTTGCTTTTGAGAGAAAACTTCCATCCACGAAGAGAGTAGAGTGGAACGGGTATCTGGGAGGCTGTTACGGGAGTCTGGATGGGAGAAGAGCCCCGAATTACAGTGGTGGAAGCAGGAAACGGGTGGGCGGATGCAGGGGCCAGGGCTGCAGGAGACCGCCGGAAAGTTGGAGCGTCAGATTGTTCCCATGCTGGTTTTGAGGGGGTGATGTCGTCCTCGGGTGGCTCGGTCAGCGGCTGGAGTGAGGGCTGAGGAAGAGAAAGCAGTAGAGATTTGACTCTTCCCCCTCCCCGGATGCGGTCTCGTTGTGTATCATAACGGGATTACGTAATGGGGACTGCGTGAAGTTTGCTGTCTTGCCTCGGTCTACCCCTAACGTTCCAATGCGATAAAAGACACACAGTAAATAACTAAAATGACATCTCTTCACGGAGGAAAATGTTCAAGGTGAAACGACACTGGATTTCTCTGTGATTCTGCAGATCCAGAATGAGGAGAGCGTGGTGCTTTTTCTGGTCGCGTGGACTGTGACAGAGATCACTCGCTATTCCTTCTACACATTCAGTCTTCTCGACCACTTGCCATACTTCATTAAATGGGCCAGGTGGCGATGTCTTGCGGTGTAACTGCTCATAGCCCTGTGCATGTGCGTTTTGTGTGCTAACATCAGCAAACCGAAATTTGTGCCTTAGCCCCGTGATGCCAGGATGCTGTTGTTTGGCTGTTAGCCGTATAATAACTTGCATTCTAAAGGCTTAACTTAGGGGCGCCTGGGTGGCGGAGTCGGTTAAGCGTCCGACTTCAGCCAGATCACGATCTTGCGGTCCGTGAGTTCGAGCCCCACGTCAGGCTCTGGGCTGATGGCTCAGAGCCTGGAGCCTGTTTCCGATTCTGTGTCTCCCTCTCTCTCTGCCCCTCCCCCGTTCATGCTCTGTCTCTCTCTGTCCCAAAAATAAATAAATGTTGAAAAAAAAAAATCTAAAGGCTTAACTTAATGATCAGAGAAAAATCATATTGACATATATTTGGAGTAAAATCAATGCAGGGCAAATTATATCAGTATCCTTAAATAACCTGAATTGGCCATTTATTTTTCTTTAAAAGCAAAATGTACAGTTTTTTGAATTTTATTAAATAAACACAGTGCCAAAAATATGGCCTTTTGTCTGAATGATTTAAATTATTTTAGTAATCTGGCATCCATAATTTTTAGGATCTTATATATACAATGTCAACTTCTTTTTTTTTAATGTTTATTTATTTATTTTGAGAGAGAGAGAGAGCTCAAGCAGGGGAGGGGTAGGGAGAGGGAGAGAGAGAATCGCAGGCAGGCTCCATGCTGCCAGTGCAGAGCCCGATGCAGGGCTCACACTCCCAAACTGTGAGATTATGACCTCATCCGAAATCAAGAGTTGGATGCTTAACGGACTGAGCCACCCAGGTGCCCCTATAATGTCAGCTTCTTTGGTACGTTTTAAGTAGCAGAGACAGAAATTTTTATTTTTATTTTATTTTTTTATTTTTTTTATTTTTTTATTTATTTTTGGGACAGAGAGAGACAGAGCATGAACGGGGGAGGGGCAGAGAGAGAGGGAGACACAGAATTGGAAACAGGCTCCAGGCTCTGAGCCATCAGCCCAGAGCCTGATGCGGGGCTCGAACTCACGGACCGCGAGATCGTGACCTGGCTGAAGTCGGACGCTTAACCGACTGCGCCACCCAGGCGCCCTGAGACAGAAATTTTTAAAGGTCATACTTACCTAAACTGTATTATTTGGAATGTGACAAAATTTATATTTCAAGGGTTCTAAATATGTCTATCCTAAAGCAACAACTTTTATGTTTTTTTTTTTTAAGTTTGAATTCTTTGAGCACCTGATATTTTACAAAGTTATTATAAAAACAAGACTGCTCTTTGGAGAACAAATCATACCAGCCAGCGTAGATTTGTTTTTTTCCTTCCCTGTGTCATACTTACAGTTGCTACAAGAGTAACACGTGTTGTGTGTGTCCTCCATACCTGAGATGCAGGTTTGAACACAAGAAAAACTCTGTCCTCTCATGACCTAGGAGACAAAAAATGAAACCACTCACAGATATGTGAAATGCCAGATGGTGGGAAGGACAACTGGAGTGAAGGAGATCTATCCCAGATACGTCTGTTCCCCTCTATGTCTGTTCTCCATAGGTAGGGTACAAGAGTTTGGCGATATTTGCATCCTTTACATTTTCTGTTAAACAACAGAAGTAGTATGTTTTCGTTGTAAAAAACTCAAAAGTACAAAGTATATAGAATCAACACGGAAAGTTCCTGCTTATACCTACCTCATGAGCTCGCTTCCTCTGGAGGGAAGATGTTTGCAGTGTACCCATCCAGACTTTTTCATGTTAACGAAAATGTGAACACTCAAATGTGAGTTTCTAAAAACAGAAGTAGAATGACATTGTATTTGCTTTTTATATCTTGGAGTTTTGTTTTTGTTTTTGTTTTTTTTTTAAAGTCAAAACAGGAATATTTAGATCTAGCTGTAACTCTTAATGCTGGGCAGTATTCCGTAGTATGAATGGCCAGTTCTCTGTTGCTAGAATTTAGATAATTTCCAGTTTGCTAATAGTAGAAGGCCTGCTTTGAGCTATCATAAACAATGCTATATCCATATATCTATTTAAAAAATTTTTTTTGATGTTTATTTATTTATGTATTTATAATATTTGAGAGACAGAGATAAGCAGGGGAGGGGTAGAGAGAGAGGGAGACACAGCATCCAAAGCAGGCTCCCGGCTCTGTGCTGTCAGTGCAGAGCCCAGCTTCAGGCTTGATCCCACAAACTGTGAGATCATGGCCTGAGCCAAAATCAAGAGTCAGACACTTAAGTGACTGAGCCACACGGTGCCCCCATATTTTTGTTTTTTATATAAAAGAGGTTTTTTTGTTTATTTATTTTTGAGAGAGAGAGAGAGAGAGAGAGAGAGAGAGAGAGACAGAATATGAGTGGGTGAGGGGCAGAGAGTGAGGGAGACACAGAATCCGAGGCAGGCTCCAGGCCCCTAGCTGTCAGCACAGAGCCCGACATGGGGCTCGAACCCATGAACCATGAGATCATGACCTGAACCAAAGTCAGATGCTTAACCGACTGAGCCACCCAGGTGCCCTTATTTCTATTTTTTAAAACCCTGATATTTATAGTAACACATTCGTAACTAGTTTGAAAGTAAGCATACAACTAGCGTCAGATTTGATTTTGATCCCCGTATATTAAAAGCCTAACACTTTTTTTTAAGTAGTTACTCCTTTTTCCTAACTCCTGTATTACACATGTTCAAGTATAATGAACTGTTGAATATATAAAAAATCAAAAATAAAGGAAAAAAACCTTTTAAATTGTTTATAATACCCCTCTGTCATGATACTCACCGTTAACTGGATTTATATCCTTTCACACTTTTTTTATGTGCCCCAGCTCCTTTTAGACATTTGTGGCTGACCCATTTTGTTTCTTGAAAATGCTTCAAAATTGTCATTTGAACTTAAACATATTGTCTATCATAAGAAGGTTGTGCTCCCATGGATGTATGTTTGTTGGTTTTATTCTTACTGTAACTGAACATTCTTCCGCTTTGAGCAGTTGGGCCTTTCACACAGTTGGCGGTTTGGAGTGTCACCAGACTAATCCTAGAATATACCTCAGTGCCATCTTGCACGATCCCAGTCTTCCAGACTTCTGGCACCTTCGAAAATACTAATTCATGAGATAGTTTCTTCACTTGCCATATTTATACAGTTTGTTTGTGAAAGGCACATGTCTTAAATGTTTTGTCTGTCTGCCTTTTAGAATGCATTTTGCATGTGTTGAATTTCTAGAAAAGTTCAAAGCTCTGCCATTGCATGTTTAAATTTGCTGTTCAGAAATCCTTCCTCAATTGCATTAATGTTAAACCAGGTACTATAAAATCTTTCAGCTTTGAAATGTCCATGTTAGCCTGATACATGTCAGTTAACCGTAATCACGAATCATTTTATTTCATGTCAAAAATCTTAAGTTCCCAGGCGTATTTGCCAACCTCACTAAAAAACCTAAAATAATATTTGTATTTATGTTCAAATGTTGAAGCTTCTGTTCTCAAATAAAAGTTCCACTTTAAGAATGGCTTCTTATTTATAAGTAGCCGGCCTACTCTGACAGTTTGAATATACTTTGATGCTGTTTATGTGTTAGAAGTGTTCCTAGAAAAGTCCACTGAATAGGTACTTGTATATTGTTGTTTTTGTGTTAATTTCCACTTTAATTTTGAAAATGCATTCCCTTCAAAAAAAATTTTAGGTGCCAATTGGGAATTTTAAAGGAGGCAGTATATCTTTTTCTCAATAAGGAGTTAAATTTCTCATGCTGCCATCCGAACTTAGAGAGTTGGTGATGTGCAGTCTTTTTAAAGTGCAAAGAAAGTAAATGACATAATTCTTTCTCATTACATTAAAAATAATCAGTGGCCGAAGGCCTTAAACTAGTTCACTCTAGGATTGATAGGGTTTTTTGTTGTTGTTGAAGAACAATGCTTCCAAAAAACTCATTGGAGAGTCACATAAAGTTTAAAAACCACGTAAATAAGTTTGAACGTTTTACTGGAGAAGGGCTTATAAAATGTTCAGTTATATGATTTTAAATTGAGTTAGGACATTAAGACTGGAAAAGAGTGATTTAAATAATATACAAATTACAAAGACTAGTAAGAAAGCAGATGATACACCCAAGGCAAGGAGGGGATAAACAGGGACAGTAAAAGGATCATTGGTCTTTTCTTTCACCACTTGGTTTATTTTGGCAAATAATTCTGTTCCTCTCCCGTCTCTTATCCTTGTATGCCCTTGGTGTACTTGGTATCACCAGTTTCCTGCCATGCTGATGATTTTAACTTTTCTCTACAAATATTATCTTAATGCCAACAACATGATTAAATAAAATATGGATTGATTTGATTTCTTTCTTTTTCCACTGAGATTTTGACCTTTATTTTCTGTGGTAACTCCCTTGGAGAAAAATGATTTTCTTTAATGGAGAAACGTTGTCGCCTTGGGTCTTTGCTGCTCTTTCTGCTGGAGGCCCGCAGAGACTTGCAGAATGTTTCTCTCACTGCAGGTGGAAGTGACGGCTGGCTACTCTGTGTTAGAGACCCCGCCATAGCCCAAATGAACAAGCTTGTGATTTGGGGTTTTGGAAAGAACCTTCTCAGTTCTGCTTTAAGCAAGTTGTTCCTTTAATGTGGGAATTTTGGAAACAACTTGTCTTTCTTGTTTTGTTATGAAAGCAGTTTTAGACAATATAGTCATTAGTAGTTATGGAAACTTTAGGTAGTAGTATTTCAGTTTTCTGAAATGGTAATTAATTCTCTTTTAATTAGTAACCACAACAGGGTTTTCAAATGCCTCCAGAGAACCCCTTTGGTAATTTCAAGATGTAGATGTAAAGTTAGGAGCATAACTGGTCTTTTAAAGCACTGCTCCTGACCAGTAAGTGACTCGTTCAGTTCTGATTTCAGGTGTCAAAGAAGTTACCTTTACAATACCTTATAATCCGTACAGGTGCTTTACAGTATTTACAACGCTTACGTGCTTTGCAATACAAAACTACATACATATTTTTAACATGTATACCATTATTTCAGTACTGTAAAGTAAGTTGACTTCTTATTTTATTAAGATCTTGCCATCTTAAAATGGAAACTGCTATGAGAAAAAAGGAAGATCATTAAATTTATAAGCAAATAATTAAAGTAGAGAAAACTAACCTGTGAGGGGCATTGTAACTATGTGCAGGATGAATTTTTAGGTTTAAAGACAGTAGTAGCAAAAGAATGATGATGTCAAATCCAGTCATTGCCCTAGAAAAATAATTCCTTGAGGTCTTTCTTTTCTCCAGATACAATTTTTTTATCATCTTATACCCTGTTGGAGTTGCTGGTGAACTTCTTACAATATATGCTGCCTTACCCTACGTGAAGAAGACAGGAATGTTTTCAATAAGACTTCCTAATAAATACAATGTCTCTTTTGACTACTATTATTTTCTTCTTATAACCATGGCCTCATATATACCACGTAAGTATGTGGTTATTAGTACTTTGGTTTAGCAGATGCTGTGAAAGTTTTTGTAAAGTATCATGATATGCTGGCTTAATAAGCAAGGCAGCATAATGGCTTACAAATACATCAAAACTTCTGTTCAACCCCACATTTAAAATTCATAATTTTAAATAATTGAAGAGTGAGTGAGTCAAAAAAGACTGTTTCCTAGTATAAGGAAAAAGGTAGGTAAATTGATACACAAATGACTGCCTTCTCAAAATCATTTAAAGAGAAGCTTAATACGACTTTTTTTCTTTTTAAAGAAAAGATAGAGCCCCCATCAGTGAACTATTTGCCAGCATTTAGAATTATTTCTCTGAAGAGAAACATTTTATCCAAGAAAATGTCGGGTCATTTCTATCTATTCCTTGAGCATATACTTGGAAAAGTTATTCAAGATTACTTTTTAGTCTTGTGTGTGTCGCTCTATGTACTAGAAAATAACGAAGGTGCTTTTTTAAAAATATTTTTTTAATCTTTATTTATTTTTGAGAGAGAGAGAGTGCAAGCATGCACGAGCGGGAGAGGAGCTGAGGGAGGGAGGGAGGGAGAATCCCAAGCGGGCTCTGCACTGACAGCAGAGAGCCCGAAGCGGGGCTTGAACCCATGAACTTCAAGATCATGACCTAAGTTGAAATCAAGACTTGGATGCTTAACAGACTGAGCCATCTAGGTGCCCCATTAAAATATTTTGAATAATTCAGCCTCTTCACTAATTTCTTGTCCCCTTTCAGTAGGTTGCAGTGAATTGGTGAGGCTTTACTCACTTCATGTAAATACCCACAGGGTTAATGTATTTCGGTCAAATTTTGATAGTCACCAGCAGGAAATACACAAGTAAAACAAGACCGTTATTTACTTTTCTCAATAAAATTAGAGACTCTAAAGTCCGTGAGGGAGCCAAGGAAATAAGCAGAGTTTATAGCATCTAAAATCTGCATCAACACGATATAAAATATTTTATGTAATGGGGGTGCACATAAAACTTGGCCAGCCCCTTGAGGCCTCTAACTTTGAAGCTTTTTCAAAATTGGCATTGACTTGACGGTCACACAGTGCATTTATTCCCCTCATCTTCTGTCAGTTGGGCCTAACTGTCATCAGATTATCCACCAGCGGCCGTTCGGGAGGGCTGAGGGGTGGAATGTCTGCAGCACCCGTGTGCGCCCTCTGCTTCCGCAGCGTCTGGTGAATGGCACCATGCCTGGTGCAGGGCCACGGCCTGCTTCCGTTTATATCCTAGTTACAGGTTTGGGAATCGGGTCCCCCTCTTCCTTGTAACTGCGGAGGCATCTCCACAGAAACCTGAGGCCCAACAGGTCATGGCTGGAAACCATCAAACTAGTAACTGTTGGTTGTGTGTTTAGTGGTGTCCTGAGAGACGTAGACTCTGGCCCGTGTCACTAGGAGCTCCGTTCACGATGCTGATGGTTCCGTGAGGGTCCCAACTTGCTGGAGCATCCGTCAGCCAGGGGGATGTTTTCCACTGGATCGTTAATATTAGCTGTAATACAGCTAGTTTTACTTTGTTCATTGAATTTTTTTGTTCATTGACTGTATTAACAGTCCTGCGAATAGTACTCAAAAGAAGTGCTACTCTCATTTTTCAATAATGACATTACAGATTGGAGGACATCGCAATGAGGACGTTACAGACATGGCTTACAAATCACCCAGGTAGTAAATAAGGCTAGGGTTTGAACTCAAGCCTGCCCTTCCACTACACTACTCAGAATGTGATAGAAGTATTTTCAATAACTGGTCAGTTAGGTTTAAGTATATTTTACCTGAATATGTTCAGGCCCCTGGGTATGATACGATGATTACATTTATCAAGATGGGTGATACCTAAATTAAAAAGAGTAAAATCCGTTGTGTATTTTTCTTCTATGTGGGCTAAGTTCTAAAAATAGTTAACTAAAGTTGCCTGAGCAAGATATTCAAAGCTTTTTTTTTTGTCGTTAGTTAATTGATTTTAGTAATTCAGTTCATCATTTTCAGAGATATTTTTACAAATATTTATGTTGTTTATAGCTGATGTGAATTTGTATACCCACTAACATTTACACTATAGTTTAAAAGCCCTGGTTCAAATGGGCTAAAAGTAATTCTTCAAATTTGGAAGGGCAGATGACCCTTTGTCTAACTGACTTAATACATATACATAAATGTGTATATAGCAGAATAGCCATATAGCCAACCAAGAGAGGCTTCTGCTCTCGGTGTTCTGGCCCTCCACTGATCATTCTCCACACAGGCCTCCCCTCCCCTTCTAGACCGCTTTCTAGAAACCTGGGATCATGGAATTTGTGACCCAAGTGGTGCTGAGTGTGCATGCACTTAGGGACTGCACGGATAGGCCTCTTCCCCAGTCTGTTCTCCTGAGGGATAAACCATGTCACCGGTGAAAACAGTCCTGAGATCAAGGGGTAGCCGAAGGGCAGCTGTGTATGAAGGGTATGGATACAGTTGGGTCGTGTGGGCGTAGATGTCCATACATGTTCACGAGACCCCGAGTGGTACAGGATAGCCAGTGGACCAGAGAAAAGGGGGCCAGGTGGGGGCAGTTTTCCTTGTGCTGGAATGTTCTAGCACAGGATTCCAAAGAGTTACAGAGTTCTAAATTCAAACGTGGCCTTCCAGGTCATTACAAAGGTACATTTATCAAGATATTTAACTTTGCTCCAGAATCCCCAGCAGTTAATGGCATTACAGCCATACCCTGGAGATACTGTGGGTCCAGTTCCAGGCCACTGCTGTAAAGCCATTACTGCCATGAAGTGAGTCAGATGAATTTTTTGGTTTCCCAGTGCATACCAAAGTTAGGTTTGCATTATGCTGTAGTCTGTTAAGTGTGCAATGGCATCAATGTTCACATCTTAATTTAAAAATACCTTGTTGCTAGAACATGCTCCCTGTCAGCTCAGCTTTCAGTGAGTCCTAACCACTGATCACAGATGGCCATGACAAGTACGATAATAATAATAATGAGGAAGGTTGAAGTCTTGTGAGAATTACCAAAATGTGGCACAGGGGCACAAAATGAGCAGATGCTGTTGGAAAAATGGTGCCAACAGACTCCCTCGAGGTGAGGTTACCACAGACCTTCAATGTGTAAAAAATGCAATCAAATGGAGGTGAGCCTATAAAACATGTAGACATATGGTATGTGGAGGCCCACATTTCTACTCTTTCCCCGAGCTCTGTGAATATTTGGGAAGGCCGAGGTGGTGGATGATGTGCTTGCCCTCGAAGCTTGCTACTGGGAAGAACTTTCTAGTATAAATAATTTTCAACAATACCTTCTTTTGTTTTCTTTTTTTTCAATCAGTGTTTCCACAACTTTATTTTCACATGTTACGCCAAAGAAGAAAGGTGCTTCATGGAGAGGTGATTGTAGAAAAGGATGATTAAGTGATCCCTGCAAACAAGGTGCTTTTTCCAGAATAACCCGGATTACTTGAGTCCAAGTTTTAATAACAAGAATAAACAACTTTATGAAATATTACAGCTTGTATGATTTCTTAGACTATAACTTGAGATGTGGTATTTGCCAATATTTGTCTTCACATTGTGCAAGGTCAGTTTCCTATAAAAACTGTGCGTGTGTTTATTATCAACTCCCGGGTAGGTGATGATCATGAAGAATTGGCTGTGTTACCTGGAAAAAAAAATACTTTTTTTTGTTTTTGTTTTTGTTTTTGTTTTTAGCTTTACTCAAGTTTTTTTGTTTTTGTTTTTGCAGCATATGCTCCAAGGTTTTTAAATCAATATTTACAAATGAGTTTAATGATTTAACATTATGATACTTGGCGGTGATATTTATATGATATTTATAAATGAAAGTAAATGCAGAATTATAATAACTTGTTAGTAATGTATTGGTATTTTCTGAACCCAAGATCTGTTTCTTACAAGTTAGATGGCAGCATTTTTGATTAATAACAATTTTTGGAAACATGGACATAATTGGCTATGATAGGACTTTTGATAAAGTAGCCATATAACAAAATATCCAAACAGATGTCACAATTGGAAAATATTCTTTGAATATATGTCTAGGCTGTTAAAATTACATATACCACTAAGCAAATTTATTTCTATTTGAATTAACCTTCAAGGACCACCTTTTCAACTATAAGGATTTTAAGGGATTAGAAAGAATGAGTATATACTTTGCCTCACTTGTAAAAAAGAAAAGAATAACATTGGGTCTGATCATAACATTATAGTCAGAACTCTGGCTGGAAAAGGCTTCTCTGTACCTAGACTCATCTAATAAAAATCATGATAATCTCTTTGTGGTACTTAGGTAATGAAAAGTTTTGGGGTATGACATGACAGACTCATTTTATTCTGAATTCCATTGAGTTTAAGCAAAAGAGTCTTATAGTAAAGCTCCTTGCCGTGCATTTAGTAGAAAGACATACGGAAGATGCTTTAATACTTACTGCTTTAATTCTTAAGTAGGCCCTTTAAATATTTTTCCCCTTACGTTAAGGTATGCTGCTTTACTGGCCCAGTTTAGAGAGGATATGAAATATGTGACTTTAAAAGAAGAGGGTTTTTTTTGCATCCTGCAGCTATGGAAGTGTAACTTTGGCTTTAAGTGTTTTGTAACATTCACACTTGCAATCAACATGTAGCATTACACTTTTCAAAACTGTTTTGCGTTACCTCCTCCTTCTCTGTTTTCTTCCTGTGGAGATTTGTAGCGAGAATATTTCTGCAAACTTTCATTTTAGATAACGTGATTTTTGAAAGGTGCTATTTCCTGTATTACATTATACTTTAATATTTCTCTGCAGCTGAATGTTTCAACGAGCACAGTGCATTCTATGTATTAGGCTACTAATTCTCAAAATGCAAATGTTCATTCTGCTTTTTCCACTGCTTGATCTGTTTTTGTCTTGAATTTTTATATGGGAGAAATTTTCAGGGAGTTTTTCCCTTTGGTACCATAGTATAAGACAGTCAAGTAAATATTGATCCTGTTAGATGCTTGTCCTGCTCAAAATATTTTAAATCCTATTCCTAAAACTTGTGTCAATTCAACTTGTACCCCCTTCAAGCAGCTGTAATAGCTCTTTTTCCTTTAGTTGTGGAATATCCTGAAGTAGAAATTGTGATTAACTTTAATAAAAATGAAAATGCCTCAAACAATTATTTACTGACCTATGTTAGCATATTATCCTTACAGTTTAGATTTAGTTTATCTTCGGTATCTTCTGTATTCAACTAATTCTAAACTGTCTCTTGTGTAGAAAATGAAGGGGTTAAATGATATTTGGATCTTAAAGAGGAGGTATTTGAAATTCCTTTGCACGTATTTCCTGTGCCTGCATATTTTAGAGTTCTCCCGAAGTCATCCTAACTTTCCTTTTGCAGTAGACGAACCAGGACATGAATCAAACAGAGCTTCCATTTGGTCCTGAAGATTTTGGCATTTGGAAAGCAAACATCAAGACTTTTTGATACTAACAGGTTTTCAGTTATATTTGGTGACACTCCATAAAAATCTGATTGTTTTAAGTTTTTCATAGCTTGAAGGATTAATACACAATATATACAGTGTATACAAGTCTTTTTTTTTCTTTTACTTTTTCATGGCCTTAATTTGATATTAATACGACAACATCCCTGTTATAACTTAATATTTAGAAGCATGACAAAATAAATACAAGAAAGTCATTTTCACCAAAAGCTTATATTACTTGACATCTCTAGATTCTCAGAAGCATTATTTCCACACCTTTGGATTTGTAAGCATCTGTTTCGTATGCCACGGTCTCCTGGTTTCTGACGATACATGGCAGGTGATGTGGAATCATGCACTAACCCGTCCCCCACACATATTTATTTTGTGGCAAATGTGCGTCAAGTGCTGCTGTAGGGAATTGGCATCTTTTTCCTATCATCCCCCTCTCCACCCTACGCAGCAGGACCTCTGACACAATTGTTAGGTCAGTTAGGAAATCACATTGCAAAATAATCACAAAATACCGTGTATTGGAGAGCTGATGTGGCAGGGGGTTTTGTTGCTTACGTGTGTGTAAGTATCTATGCCACTAAACAGGTAACATTCTGGTTTAAAGCTACTTTCAAATAGACTCAAAATCAATTACAGATATGAAACTGATAAAAGAAATCATTAAGGCACAAGGAAAGGAAGGAAAGAACTATTAGGGAAAAAAATAACTATAAAAATCAACATTTGAATTATTTTTCAAATCAATGTGCAAAACGCAGAACTTTTTTCCACTAACCTATATAGTGATCTGGGACATACATATAATTGATAGAAGAAAAAAGAACAACATAGTTCTGTAATTTCTAGGATGAAGGAAGGCATTGAATGGAAGTGAAGATTTGGTTTGTTTATATTTTTAGATTTACAAAACAACTTAAATAGACATAAGTAGTACCTCTAGATATGAAGCTTAAAAATATGTCCCAAAAGTTTTAGTTTTTTTAGTGTTCTTATGATAGCTTTAAAAAATATTTTTATCACTTTTTATTTTGAAATAATTTAAAACTTAACAGGAAAGTCGCAGGAATGCTAGAATGTCTTTGTTTGAATTCCCCACTTCTAACACTTTGCCCCATTTGCTGTTAGCATTCTCTGTCTCTCACTTTCTCTCTGTTTCTCTCCATACTATTTTGTGAGCCATTTGAGAGTAAGTTGGAAACATGAACTTGTGATTACTTAAGAACAAGGGCATCCCCTTACATTGCCGCAGTGCAGTGACCCAAATCAGGAAATTCCACGTTGATACAGTACCTTTCTCTAGACTACAGACCTCACGCAAATCTCCCCAGCAGGGTCTTTGGAACACATACGTGCTCTGGGTCAAGATGCCGTCGTGGTTCGGGTGTTACCTGTCCCCTCTTCCGGTCTAGAGTGGCTCCCTGATTTTTCTTCATGCTTCATGACTTTGAGTTTTTCAGCAGTAAAGGGGGTTACTTTGTGGAAAGTCTCTCAATTTGGGTTTGATGTTTCCTCATGATTACATTCATGATTTCCTCATGATTACATTACATTCCTGCTGAAGCAGGAATATTGATTTGTTCCATTTACTGGTGATAGTAACTTGGATGTGTTAGGGTTTTTGTTTTATAATATTACAATAACAAGTAGGCATTTTAGCAATAGAAGCCCTTTTTGGTCTAGTTCTTTGGAGTTTTGTCTTTGAAATCAGGCACTGGGATTTTTTCTTTTTTACCCAATTAAGATGCTTGTGCTCTGATACATGAAGATTGATGTCTTTTTAAGTACTTAAAAAGTACTAAATTCTTTTTACACATGCAATTTCCAGGCATATTGTTAACTCACCTTTCTATTGACTTCTATGTCTCTAGACTATAAATCTCGGTGACTAATTAATATGCTTTGGTTTTGCTTAAAAGTTCTTAACCACAGCATTCTGTTGTATACTATGACATACTCTTACCATGTTATTCTGCTATACTAAAATGATAAATAACACAAGACTGAGATGGCTGTAAAACTTAATTTTACTTCTTTATTTATGGTAGTGTCTTACCCCTATATTTTAAAAAGCAATTTGTACAGTTTGGAAATTCAAAATTATTCTTAAATCCACTTAATGCTTTGTGGTTTTACTCTAAGGATAATGGCTGAAGAGAAATGGTCATCAGACCACAGCTTTTAGAAGAGCCGACTGAGATCCCAGAGTCCCTCCCATAGAGATGTTACATCAGTGGCTGCGGGGCTGAGAAAGTCTGCATTTTCAGCAAGATGCTGAGCAGCTTTGGGGCAGGCAGTTTCATTGCCGTACCCCCCCCCCCAACCCCCCCCCCCCCGGCCGCCCCCCGGCGGGGGGGGGGGTGGAGGAAGAAGATTTCTTACAAATGCCCTTTTCAGTGTACTTAATATCACTGAAAAAGCCAACATTCCTGCATCATTCCGTATTGTCTCTAATCAAAATGAACACCATAGTTTGAGTTTATACACATGGAAAACTTGAACTTAACATTGTAGCAGGATTCTGGCACAAAGTCCCGACACCGAGGCTTTTCTTTCCAGGAAGCAACTTTATTCGTACCGGCACCGCTCAGTTGGGCTTATACCCGAAGAACTGAGCCCTGAACTTCGCGTGGCGTAGTTTTTTATATATTTTTAACTCCTTTGTCTCCCATATATGGTAGTATACAAACTTGCAGTCTGATTGAGTGGTCTCATGCTACAAGGTCGTGAGGAATGTTGTCTTGTGCTCTATAGCCAGCTTGTCTTGAGGTGTTTTTTGTTTTCTCCTTAGGGAGGGGACCCTATCGCAACATAGTATGAAGAAGTAAGACATTCTCCATGTGTTTTTTTAAACACTATTATTTTACAGCCATACAGTTGGCCCGTCCACGCGCCGAGGTGTAGTATAGAACGTAAGACAAGTAACATCCAGAGTAATAGGGTTTTTTTTGTTGTTGTTCTGAATTTAGTGATCCGAATTAAGTGGACATCATTACAGTTAGAAACTATGTTAAAAGACT